TAAGGAAGGATTATGGAGAAATCATCTGTAGGTAGACTACACCAAGCCTTAATTACTTTAAATGTTTTCACTTGTGATGCCGATGGCAAGACACTCATGGAAATACACTGGTGTCAGAATAAGCCAAAGGAAAATGGACTGGTTAAATGGAAAGATCCCGAGTCTGCTTTATGGAAGGGCCCCGATCCCCTATTAACATTTGGTCAAGGGTACGCTTGTATATTTCCAGAAAATTTCTTGAAGCCCGTGTGGATTCCCGCAAGAAATATTAAACTTCAACATGGATCCAAGGGAGGAACTGGCCAGGTTAATGAGGACCTTGCACCTGGAGCCATGCCTTACAGCTGCAGACAATCAGCTACCCCAGCCGCAGATAGCAGCAGGCCCAAGCAACCCACTGAAGATAAGGAATGGGAGGAGGGTGAAGCAGATGACAAACAGCCCGGAGGTCACCTGGGGGATGGTGAAGAAGACTGTCCAGAAAGCTGAGCCAATTTGTAAGGAGACCCAAATCCCAAGAATGCCTGAGAATGTCTTTCTTACCCTGCTAGCAGTCATCAGCTGTACAATAATACTACCAGGGGCAAATGGGAAAGTATTTTGGACTTATGTTCCTGACCCACCATGGGTAAGACCCCTATGTGGGCTGACCCCCTGCCTAATGTAGTCACCAATAATACCAAGCACCTTGGTCACCCAGGAGGACCATCGGTGGGACAAGGAAGTATATGGGCAAAGTATAGTTACACGGGTGTTGCCTTTTGTATGACACAGAATCAAACCACTGCTCCTTTGTGTGTAAAATTAAAGAGAGGCTTCTGGCTAGCATGGACACCAAAGGAGAGGGAAGCAAATGCCCAAATACATCTACTATTACTACTTACTCTGGGGAGAGGTACAGAAAATGTAACTTTACTAAGACACCCCACCACCACCACCACCACTAAGCCATTATGTAAAAAGTCTTATGAATGGCACCCCACTGAGGGAGAAATTAATTGGCAAGACTGTTATAGTGACTACCCCACCAGCAGCAAACTTAATAACAGTTTTTCCTTTGTGGATTGGAGCCTCTACGGATCTGCATATAGTAACAATCGCACCCTAAAATGGAAGGGGAACACACCCTATCTATATGTTGAAGCTAATCACTACATTTCATGGCATGGAGAAGGATTTGTTGGATCTCAATTACAACATGACAATTGGCCTCTACAAAATACGCAATGGAAACTAGCTGCTGCACTTGCACCTATTAAATGGTACAGTTTTAATTATAGCTCAGCTAATTCTATTCATACCCTATGGAGAACTCCCAATAAGACAGTATTTGCCACCACTTGGGTATTTGATCCATTTGTACTCCTCTCAGGCCCCATCCAGGTGACCCTTAATGCTACAAGCCATCTGTATGAGGTGTCATGCACAGGCTGCACATTATCCCATTGTATTAATTCTACATTCCAAAAAGATTCCCTCATGATTTTAAATCAGTCTGCTTTCGCTTGGGCTCCTACTAACCTAACTGAGCCTTGGGAATCTCATCAAACCTACCAACCATTACATGATCTGGTAAAAATCTTAAAACGACAAAAAAGATTTCTTGGAATGTTAATTGCAGGACTCTTTGCCCTTATAATGTTACCTACTTCTGTGAGCATTGCTGCTTCGTCCATGGTACAAACTGTTCAAACTTGTCAGTTTGTACAAGTTAAGGAAAAATGTAACTAAGACCTTGTCTATACAAAAAGGAATTGACAGCCAGTTTGAGACAGAATTTTCAGCACTAAAGTCTACAGTCTTGTGGATGGGTGATAAAATCCACAGCTTAGAGCAAAGAATATCTTTACAGTGTCATTATAATTTTTCCCAGATTTGTGTTACCCCAGTTCCCTATAATAGTACCTTACACCCTTGGGAATCAATAAAAAAATCACCTTCTTGGTGCTTGGGGTAAAGGTAACACAACCCTTGATATTTAGAATTACAACAGCATATTGTACAATTATCCCAGGCAAATTTACAAACTAATTCCTTGGATGCCTGGTAGCAATTTAAAAAAGACATGAAAGAATTTAATCCCTTCCACTGGATCTCCTTACATTTGCTTGTCTCATTGTTTTTCTTATATGTTTATTTCTAGTCTGCAGAGGCAGAATGAAGAGTCTTAAAAGGACTCAAACCCTTCAGGTGGCATTCACTTTTCAAGATTTATTAAGGAAGTGAAAAGAGGGCAATGTTGGATGCTACCCATTGTTTTCACTATCAGAAAAGTGTAAACAAGGAGCCCAGAATGCTGGTGAACCTTGAGCTCTAGCAAGGGCCAAAGCTATGCACTGATTGTTTAGACGAGACAATGGTGGCTCAAGCAATTTCCTGACCAAATAGTCTCAAAGTAAATCTTTACTCATATTTACTGACCTTTAAGACAGTCTGTCTGTTACTGGAATTGCCTGCCTGACCAAGGGCAATATGTGTATCTAAAATTGAATAAAAGGTTGGCAGGGTCTAGGCACCAGCGAAGTCCTTCTCCTAGAGGTGGACTCTCCGCCTGGCCCCCCAAATTTCCAAATTATTATTTCTTGTCTGGTCTCGTCATTTGCCCACGGCCCTTCTCCAGATCCCGAACCCTAGGCCACGCGGGACATGGCATCTCATAAACATCAATGAATGAATTCAATGAATGTTTTTAATCTATGGCTTGTACATTTACTACAACAGGAGGCACTCAGGAGGTATGTTAGGAAGAATATTAGAATGCATCACCAAATTAAATAATGAAAGAAAATGCTTATGTGGCTCCTTTCCTAACTGGTCTGAGTGCTGGATGGGAAGAGAAAAGATCAATTGGCTCTCAAGTTTCTTTACACCTGTGATTCCAGAACAGTTTGACATGATAGTGGGCAGCCAGGTAACACTCAGACACTACCAACTATCCTATCTAATAAAAGAGAAACATGGTAATTAGCGTATGACCACTACCCTTCCCATTGGCTAATCAGGGCGATATGCAAATTAACTGCCAGCCAAGATGGCGGCGGGCAGCCAGGCAGCTTGAAACTAACATGAGGCTTGCTTGCTTCAGTGACGGAGGACTCCAACGTTCCCCGCCTGCCACTGCCGGCCTCTGAGCTGCAACTCTAAGCAACTATGTTACAAATATAGAAGCTAAACAAAACCCCAGAAACCTGCTTTAGTCCGCCCGGCTTCAGCCAGCAGGATTGCAACATTGTTTCAAATACAGAAGGTAAACAAAGGCCAGAAACCTGCTTTCAGCAGCGGAGGCCTAAGAGCTGGAGCCAAGCCTCAGAGCTAAAGCTGGCCCAGAATAAAAAAGAAAAAAGAAAAAAAGGAGTGGTTGGGAGCCTCAGTCACCCGCCAGCCTGAAAACAGCACTCAGACCCTCACCCAGACTGGCCAGGCACCCCAGTGGGGACCTCCACCCTGAAGGGTGTATGACCAGCTGCAAACAGCCATCATCCCCTCATCCAAGCTGGCCAGGCACCCCAGTGGGGACCCCCACCCTGATCCAGGACACCCTTCAGGGCAAACCAGCTGGCCCCCACCCGTGCACCAGGCCTCTATCCTATATAGTAAAAGGGTAATATGCCTCCCAGCACTGGGATCAGCGTGACAGGGGGCAGCGCCCAAACCCCCTGATCGCCCTGCGGCTCTGTGTGTGACAGGGGCCGGGGCCACAACCTCCCTATCCTCCCTGCTCTGTTCGTGACAGGGGAAGGCGCCCCAACCCCCTGATCAGCCCTGCTCTGTGCCTGATAGGGGGGAGCTCTCCAACCCCCTGATCACCCTGCGGCTCTGTGTGTGACAGGCTGCGGTGCCCCAACCCCCTGATCTGCCCTGCTCTGTGTGTGACAGGGGGCGGTGCCCCAACTCCCCTATTGGCCCTACTCTGTGAGTGACAGGGGGGAGTTCCCCAACCCCCTGATCGGCCCTGCTCTGTGCATGAAACGGGGGAGCTCCCCAACCCCCTGATCGACCCTGCTCTGTGCGTGACAGGGTACGGAGCCCCGATCCCCCTGATGGGCCCTGCTCTGTGAATGACAGGAGGCAGCGCCCCAACCCCCCATTGGCCCTGCTCTGTGCGTGACAGGGGATGGCGCCGCAACCTGCTCATCGACCCTGCCTTGAGTGTGACAGGGGGCGGTGCCCCAACCCCCAAATCAGCCCTACCCTGAGCGTGACTGAGGGTGGCATCGCAACCTCCCGATCCGCCCTGCTCTGTGCATGACAGGGGTGGCGCCCCAACTCCCCAATCAGCCCTCCTCTGAGCCTGACCAGGGGCTGCACCTAGGGATTGGGCCTGCCCTCTGCCACCCGGGAGCAGGCCTAAGCCAGCAGGTCGTTATCTCCCGAGGGGTCCCAGACTGCGAGAGGGCACAGTCCGGGCTGAGGGACCCCCCCCTTTCCCCGCTAGTGCACAAATTTTTGTGCACTGGGCCTCTAGTTCTAAAATAAAAGAAAATGATTTAAAGATCTTCAACCAGGCCTGCCACTCAACCATTGACTCTGCCAATAAAGGAAGCTTCAAAAACATCATTGTCCAGACCCCAGTGAGGCTTGTGCCATGGGCTGCTGTAACAATGCCTGGACACAGGAGAGCCCCAGTCATTTCCAAAGATAAATAAGTCAGGATGTTTAACTCCCTAGCTTCTAAGTTTCCAAAGGTAACTTTACCTTATATAAATGATCAACCAGCCAGAATTATTCTTCTTCAGAAGTTATCTAACATCTTTGAGCAACTCAAAAATAATCCACAATCCTTTTATTTAATGATTTCATCCTGTACTCACATTTATCATCTTGTTTGTCTTCATAATATGCACACTATGCTACCCCGCAAAAGATGTCATGCCCATTTTATAGGCAGAGAAACCCATCCCTGTGCCATCCCAATATGTTACATGGCCAATGAATGGCTTGTTTCTGTTTCCATATTTTAGCTCAGAAGAACAGAAAAAGAAATTACATATTTCTTTTACCCTTTCCTATGTGTCTCCTGGTATTTTCTATTGTTGAGTTTCTGTTTACATTAGAAAGAAGTCCAAGACAGAATCTGTTCCTGTTATTTGAAGGGTCTGTGAATCCATCTATAAGTACACTTCGGGAGGAAGCCTGGAACGTCTCACCAATTCGATTGTTCAGTTCATAGTAAGCAACTGAGCACCAGTGCTGGGGTTCCTCATAGCAAACTGGCCGAAAGTCTGAAAGAAAACAAACCAGATAGCACATTACTACCATTATGCTTGGGCTTCCCATCTCCTGATTCCATCAGGAAATTTAGATTAATGCTGTTAAGCAGAAAGTTGGCTGCAAGACCAAGTAAGCTGCCTTACAATCATTTCAAATCTATCACTTTAATGAAAACTGTGGTGACCTTATCTGGTTAATGCATCTATGGCAGAGGCCACAGACCTAGTGACTCTCCCATAGTTACAGTATTTGTACACATATCTATGATTATTGAGGGGCCAAGCAAAGAAGAATATGAGTGGATCCATGTAAAGTTCATCAACTCTAAAGGAAACACAGCTCAAAGGAAACTGGCAGGTCACTTCATCTCCGCATGAGAAAGATAGTGTATTACTGTTACTGTATGCCACATTGAGTCCCTGTGGCAAAGAGTACCATTTCCTAACAAACTAAAGATGAACTATAATAGTTTGGATATGATAAAACCAAATCAGAAACATTGGATAGCACTTTAAATTATTTAAGAAAGAAAATAAAATTCTATCTAAATAAACTCACATTCTATTTTATGTACAAATGGAATACTTAATTACTTATGGCATAAAAAATATCTTAGCCCTGACCGGTTTGGCTCAGTGAATAGAGCATCAGCCTGTGGACTGAAGGGTCCCAGGTTTGATTCCGGTCAAGGGCATGTACCTTGGTTGCGGGTACAAATTGATGTTTCTCTCTCATCGATGTTTCTAACTCTCTATTCCTCTCCTTCTCCCTTCCTCTCTGTAAAAAATCAACCCTATATAATAAAGAGCTAATATGCAAATGGTCATCATGCTGTAATGACTCAGACACTCAACACTAGGGAGAGAGGAATGGGGACCACATAGGCACAAATGAGCTCTCCAGAGAGGAATGGGGACCAGCCAGGCTGCGGCCTGGGAGAAGGACAAGCTCCCCGTCCCACGGTCCTGGGTGCCAGTGGCTGGGGCTACGGCCAAGTACAGAGATAAGCCACCTGCCCCACAGTCCTGGGTGCCAGCGCCTGCACCTGTGGCCTGGGAGAGGGACAAGTTACACATCCTGTGGTCCTGGGTGCAGAGGCTGCGCCTGTGCCTGTGCCTGTGCCTGTGCCTGTGACCCGACTTGGGAGAGGAACAAGCCACATGCCCTGCGGTCCTGGGTGCCAGCGGCTGGGGTGGCTGCCCAGGAGAGGGACAAACTGCCCACCTTGTGGTCCCAGGCACCAGCAACTGCACCTGCAGCCTGGGAGAGGGACAATCTGTATGTCCCATGGTCCCAGCAGTCCCAGATGCCAGCGGTTGCATCTGCACCTACGATCCAGGAGAGGGACAAGCCGCCCACCCAGCGGTCCCGGGCGCCAACAGCTGCACCAGCACCTGTAGCCCAGGAGAGGTACAAGCTGCCCACCCCGTGGACCCGGGCACCGGCGGCTGCAGACTGGACAAAGCCACCTGCCCATGGCGACTGGTGGCTGTGGACAGCCCGGGCGAAGCCGGCCCGGGTTCTGGGTGCCTGTGGCCGGCCAGAGGAGGGAATCCTGGGTCCTGGGTGCAGGTCGAGGCAGAGGCAGTTAGAGGCAATCAGGCCAACAAGGGAGCAGTTAGGGGTGATCAGGCTGGTAAGGGAGCAGTTAGGGGCATTCAAGCAGGCAGGCAGAGGTGGTTAGGAGCGATCAGGCAGGCAGGCAGGCAGGCGAGCAGTTAGGAGCCAGTGGTCCCGGATTGTGAGAGGCAGTCGGACATCCCCCGAGGGGTCCTGGATTGCAGAGAGTGCAGGCTGGGCTGAGGGACTGCCCCCACACCCCCTGTGCATGAATCTCATGCACCGGGCCTCTAGTAAAATATATTAAAAAGATATTTTAAAGAGAGTTGTGTATTTCATTAGGAAATCTGTGAATGCTATGTTTTCACCCAAAATTTTTCAGTTAAGTAACCAATAAAAGTTCAGAGTTCTTTCTTTGTCACCCACACTCTTTCTCTGCCCTTCTATTAATTGTATAACCTTCCTTTTCTTTGAATATCCTTGTAATTCTTATATCTAGAGTGTGTTCCATTATGCACTAAATATACATTTTTTAAACAGATAAATTAGGGGGTTATTTGATTTACAAAAGGTTGTTAAGTTATAAAAGAATTGGAATACTTTAAGTAGTACACTCCTTTGGACCCTCCCCACTCAGTGTGGTTCATGGAACTGTAGGCCTGCATCACCTGGGAACTTGTTAGGTATGCAGATTCTTTGCCCCAACTCATATTCAGGGTATCAAAATCATACTTATACAAAATCATTACCCGCTCTATATGAACACTAAAGTAGACCAACATTTTTCTAGTCTATTGTAAGACACAACATTTTGTAAAAACCCTATTTACATCTATTTCTAAGAGCACCTCTCTAAGCCAATGAAAGACACCATTCTAAATCTATAGTAAAAACAGAAATGGGTCAAAATTGTTAACTTCTTAAATATCTAATTCCATAGTAAACATCAAGAACAACAAATGTTAGGTTAAAATAAAAGATTAATGTATTCTAGTAAACAGGATGCTAAACAAACATCCACTCTATGGTACTGAGGAATTCCAAAGTTAAAATGCCAAGAAATCCATACTACCTGCCCCTTAAAACACTTGGGAAATAGAAGGTAAGAACATTTGGTTTTGTTTGGATTTTTTTTATTTATTTTGGGGTAATAGAAAACACTCCTGGAAAATAGATATATTTAGTTGTTCATCTGTAAATTTATCTCCATTAGGCATTGATAGCACTAAATGACTATCAGCTGTGGTATCTACAGGTCAGCCATTCTGGTTCTCTGGGGTTTCTATGACATAATAAAACAGGGTGGTGTGTTGACAATAAGAAAGAAGTAAAACAAAGGAATGTTAAACTGATAAACTACACAAAGATGACCTGACCCAACCTTTTTGGCCATTAAACTCCTTGATGGACAGTGTTTTTGCTAAAGAGAGACCAGTTACATAATAAGTGATATTGTGAGTGTCCTACAGGGGAAGTGGGTTGTCCTAAACTCCTCACTAAAGGGTTGAATAGTTTTCCCTCTGACTTATGACTTATCATTGAGATTTTCAAACCGAGGAGCTAGTCTCCTAGCTTTTCTCAGTAACAGAAGAGCCTGTTATCTGGCTTTTATAACAGAGAAAGCTAACCCTTTGAAATTAGCTTAATTTTCAGCTCCTTTGTTGTCATGGACTGTACAATGGCCACAACAATGTTCTATCTCTGAGATAGTTCAAATATGCCCCCAAATACAGGACAGCTGAAACCTGATTATAACCTTGAGCCCAAGGCACAGTGAGAAGGGTTCTTCTCCCCAAATAGCAGTCCTACTAGAGGCCCAGTGCATGAATTTGTGCACAGGTGGGGTCCAGGGGGTCCAGCCAGCCTGCCCCAATGGGACCCCATTGGGCCGGGCCGGTGGGAGGAGGGGCTGCAGGCAGTTGGCCACCCAGCCCTGCCCCTGATCAGGGTGTTGGCAGCTGATCGGGGCCCGGATCAGGCTGGTTGGTTACCGCAGTGTGCATCATAGTTCCGGTCATTCCACTGTTCTGGTCGCTGGGCTTTTATATATATACTAGAGGCCTGGTGCACAACAATTTGTGTATTCGGGTGGGTCCCTCAGCCCGGCCTGTGCCCTCTCGAAATCTGGGGCCCCCTGGGGGCACCTTCCCCTGGCTGCTGGCACCAGTTTTCCTCCAGCGCCTGGAACCCAGGCCTTCACTCTTCGCCGGGAGGGGCCTGCGCAGTGGGCGAGGGGCTTAGCTCTTTTAAAAATACTTCTGAATGTTTGGTAAATAACCCTGTAGGAATCTACTTTCTGAAACATGTTGGTTGTTAAGGGCTAATTTGGGTAATCAACAAAATGTATGTTAAAATCCTAATCCCCAGAACCTCAGAATGTACCTGTATATAGAGATAAGATCTTTAAAGAGGGGATTACATTAAATTGAGGCAGTTCCAGTGGGACCCTTAGCCCACCTCACTGAAGTCCTTATAAGAAGAGGAATGTTGGGGTCCTTCCTCAGCAGGTCCAGGGGTTCCCAAAGGTGTGGATGGAGTCGGCGAAGAAGGAATGACACAGAGGCAGCGTTCAGGTGATCATCATAGCCAGGTTCTCTTTTTATTGTCCTGTTACATCTATATTTATACTATTTGATCCTATAAGCATGCCTCTATAAGCTATTTTTTTGCCAAAGAGAGCATGGGGTCCATTTATTGGGGGTCAGTCAAAGGGGGAGCTGGCTAGGGTGGGGTAGGGCAGCTACTTGTCCGGCCCCCGAGAAACCCAACTTGAGTCCAGAGCCTCCACTGCTTTGAAGCCAAAGTCTTCCTCCACCTTTATCTGCACGGGGGCCAGCTCCAGAGTCAGCGGGACTCCCGCCCGGCCCCCTTCCGGTGGCACTCGCAGGCTCTTCCAACCGCTGGGCCCCTCGCCAGGGGCCGGGCTGCTGGCTTCTGTGGGCGCTGTTGTCCTCCTGGGCGGGGACAGCCCCTCTTTCTCTGGAGGCTCGTTCTCAGCCTTGCCTGGGGTGGGGGTGTCTGTGCCCTGGCTGCCCTCATCCTCCAGTAAGATGGTGAACTGGCTGGCCCGGTAATTGTCGCCGTAGGAGTGCAGCACCTTCATGAGGAACCTCCGCTCCTGCTGGAGTCTCCGTGTTATCCTCTATATCTAATGGGGCCTGTTCAGGACCCGCTCCTTCGCCTGCTCGATCTCCCTGCAGCGCCGATCCAGCGCCTGGTACTTCCTGCGATTGAGTTCCCGTTGGCGCTGCCATTGCCGGCCTCAGGCTGCCTCCTCCTCTTCCTCTCGCTCCTGGAGGCTGGAGCTGCCCAGACCCCCAGACACGAACTCCACTTCGGTCTCAAGCTCGCTCTCCAGGATGTGACCACCTTCAGAGGAGGCAGAGCCAGCTTCCAGCCGGGAGGTGCTGAGAACTCCTCAAAGCCCATGGCTGCCATGGACCCCCCTCTC